TTATCGCAATACCATTAATGGGTCTTAGGGTTACACCGGTCCTCGTTCTCATCCTTCTGCTCCTCCTTATCCTCATCCTCTTCCTCCTCCTCTTCCTCCTCCTCCTCCTCTTCCTCCTCTCCATCAATGATCACCATCGCGATCATCATCTTTGTCATCATCATCAGCATCGTCATCTTCAGCTTCATCACCTGTATCATTATCATAATCATCATCACCACCACCACCACCACCACCACCATCATCATCATCATCATCATCATCATCATCATCGCCCTCCTTCCCGTCCTCATCCTCCTCAGTCCAGTTCCCTTCATCTCCGACCTCCCTCTCCTTCTCATTCCCCTCCTTCCCATCATCACCGACATTATACGATCATCATCACCATCATTATTTGCAGAGACATCAGCATCAACATCCTCAGTATCACCATGATCACCATCATCATCAGCAGCATCATAAACAACATAATCAGCATACTATCGTCATCACCGTCATCAGCAGCATCATCACCATCATCACCATCATCGTTATCATCATCATCATCATCATCATCATCATCATCATCATCATAATCATCATAATCATCAAAATCATCAGTATCATCACCACCACGATCCTAATAATCATTATCATCCCCCTCATCATCATCCTCTTCATCATCAGCAGCATCGTCGTCATCAGCACCATCATAATCCTCATCAGCAGCAGCATCAGCATCATCGTCATCATCAGCATCATGAGCAGCAGCATCACCATCCCCGTGCTGCTTCTCTCGAGGCACACGCCCTCTGGGATCGTGCAGGACGAGGGGTGGTAGAAACAGAGGTGGCATTGGTCAGCACGCAGGGGGACTCACCGCGAACCTGCAAAGCAGGAGGAACATCAGGACGGGGAGGCGCAGAGAAGAAGGAGAAGTGGCAGCAGAAGCAGCAGCGGCAACTGGCAGGCATACAGCCAAGGCGTTGAGATAAGGATCACGTCACGTTCTGAGAGCCTGCTTGTGACCGAAACTCGCTGTGACCGAAACTCGCTGTGACCGAAAGTCCCGTCGTTCCGTGTTTGGCTTCCACCACAGTGCAACGCAACGACGCTCTGTGCACCAAGGGGGAGCTGCGGGGAGGCATCGAGAGCCTCACAGCCTGGGCCCAGGCGTGGACCGATCCCTTGCCCGCCTCCTGTTCGAGCAAGTCCTGCGCCTGGTCAAGGAGGACAGCGGGAAGCCGCAAAGCACCGTACTTTTTGATGAGTGTTTGTTCAAGCTCGCGACTGGTGTCGTCCAGCGGGCTGTGCGATTTCAGCGGCCGCACGACGCCGAATCAACCGCTGAGGGGCTCCACTGGACGCAGTATGGTGGGCAACTGGCGTGTCGAAAGGCCGTATCCAGCGTGCAAATTCCCCCAGGGCCCAAAAATAGCGAAAAACATCCAGTCGCGAGTCTTTCATGACTCCAGGGCGTCTGGGAAAGTGGGTGCGTATGTCATCCTGTTGCTCCTCGACCCAGGCCCCGGCATGTCTGCCAGCAGCTCCGCTTGCGCATTGCCGAGAGCGGCTTCCCGGGGGCAGGCCAGCCAACACGACACTAAACAGCCGATCCCGCCTGAGTGCTTTTTGACAGTAATATGTACCCGATCGACCTGAGATCAAGATGGCGAGCGGGAATAAGATCGAATACTGGTAGAAAAAAATTAGAGCTAACGAATTTTGGAATTTCGAGAAAATGATGTTAAAAATGCCAAAACAAAGACAAAACTTCCGTCGAGTCTGGAGGCCCGAGCCACGGCCTGGAGAAGCCCAGATATCCGACGACGTGATTCGGGAGGGGAAACATGAAAAAGCACAGACACGATGCATCGTCGATCCGTGCAGCCCTGGAATGAGTCTGGGAAGCGCGAGCCTACCTGGGGCCTCCTCCTCCTCCTCCTCCTCCTCCTCCTCCTCCTCCTCCTCCTCCTCCTCCTCCTCCTCCTCCTCCTCCTCCTCCTCTAGGGAGATACTCAGGCTCGGTCCCTCATCACGCGGCCAATCTAGGTGTTGATTTTCGGGCTGGTCAAAAACGAGGAAGAGGTATTACAAGTTCTAAGCTTCGAGATCGTCATAAGCAACTTAAAAGTCGACTTTATTGTATAAGAGCTGTAAGAAGAGCTGGAGCCAATACCCTCAAGCTGTACAACACGGGCTTCGGGCAAGCCCAATTCTACGGGACGGAAGTGGTAGGCCTAGATGGTAAAGAACTAAAAGTTGCTCGTAGACTTTATCTACAAATAGCAGGTCCAGGTACAAAAAACCGTTCTAGTACGTTGGCTCTGTGCTTACTTGGCGACCCTTGTTGGAGACCAGGTGTTGGCCCCATCATCATTTGGTCGCAGCTGGTGTGGCGCGCCATGATAGGTCAGAATTATCCTGGCCACGGTTTGCCTCAACTTCGAGCGCGAACTGCGGCAGTGCTCGAAGCCCCACCACGGACGTGGCGCGATTGTCGAGGCCCGTTTGGAGCAGCAATTCTAAGTGCACAGAGGTTGGGATGGCAGTTCACCTCGCCCTTCACGTTGGTAGATCACTACCAGAGGACCCACATATTAACCTCCACCTTTCCCTGCATGCTCCAGACTTGGATGAAGCAGGCCTGGGACGAGCAGCTGCATGTCCAGGCCGCGGCGAAGTTAGGACTCCAAGGCTCGCTCGACACGTCCACGGCACGGAAGGTTTTACAAGATCCAGGGCTCAACCAAACCGAGAAAACCACCCTCCTGGCCTTCCTGACCCAGTGTATTTGGACCCATTCTTGTTTGAGAAAAGCAGGGTACCCAGCGGAAACAGAATGCCAATGTGGACACCCAACTGACGATCTTCACCACAGACTCGTGAGTTGCCCTTGCACAGCGCCCATCAGAGATGAATATTTTAATGCTGAAGAGGCCCAGGTCCTTATGGACCCAGGTAAATTCCCGATCCAGGCGGGTTTTCTGGAAGGTTTGGACTGGTCCACGGGGGCTCCCGAGGGCCTTGGCTTGCAGCAGCAGGTCGTCTGGACTAGAGACAATGTTCCCATCTCCGAGGCCCTAGTAGGTAATATATACACTGACGGGTCTTGTTTAAAACAGGGCCCCAGGGATTTTCATGTAGCAGGTTATTCAGCCATCGCGCTCGACGCCGAGGGCGAGATGACGGCTGCAGAATATGGCCCTGTAGGCCGCAACCTCCCCCAAACCTCCCCCTCTGCTGAGCACCTTGCTGTGCTTGCTGCTGTCTCCTCCTCCTCTCCCTATGCCATTAACAAGATAATCACTGATTATCAAGGAGTGATTGATGTGCACAGTGAGTTCCACAGTAGGAAGCAGAAATACTCTGGAGTTGCTTTGCTGGCCCAAGGCTCGGCCAACCGGCACCGTGGAACCACTCTGGACAAAATAAAGGCTCACCAGAGCCCCGAAAGTCTCACCCAGGGCTCGGAAGAGTGGCTGAAAACCACTGGAAACGATTTCGCTGATAAGTTTGCTAAGCTAGAAGCTCAAACGTTGCAGCGTCCCTCGACCAATGAGATTGAGGTAGCCACCAGGGACAGATCCCTGCTGGCCAAGTGGCTGCGCTACGTTGCTCGAGCTGTAAGCTTGTGGGAGCCAGTTGGACCTAAAGTCAGCAAGAAAGCGTTTTCTTCTCGGGACAAGACGGTTGCCCAGCCCATTGCGGCGGGAGCAGCCAGTGCTCGGGTGGTTTGGACTGGCGAGGCCCCTCCTCCGCCAGCTCCTGTGGTCCCGCGGCCCCAAAGTCCTGGCCACTCTTGGGAGTGGAATAGCAGATCCAACAAGTGGCTGTGCTCGACATGCAAGGCCCGATGCTCTGACAGAATTTATCAGACTCGCAAAGATGAGCCATGTCGAAGCTATCACCTACAGATGTTTCAGATAGCTGAGGACCCCCAGGGCCATACATTTTAGGTTGCCCGTCAAGAGAGAAGTTTGAACTTCATCATGATGTTCTCTGGCTGCGGCAAGTACAGTGAATCAAATGTCAAGAAGCTCAAAGAGGACTGCCATGGTTTCAGGAGGGACGGTGATCGCACCCAGTGGCGACTTTTGTGCGCTGGGAAACACCCAAAGTCCACTTTCAAGGACCCATCTATTTTCCAGAGACCTCCTGTAAGGCTCAGAGATTCTATCGCTGCTGAAGCAGCCAGAGTCGCAGCTTCATCTCAACAGCGAGATGGCAGGCAATAGGGCGGATTGAACTTCCGTCCCCAACCACGTGCTGATCCTCCTCCTCCTCCTCCTCCTCCTCCCCCTCCCCCTCCCCCTCGTCCTCGTCCTCGTCCTCGTCGTCCGCCTCCTCCTCCTCCTCCTCCTCCTCCCCCTCCTCCTCCTGGGGCGACCCAGATTTCGGTCTTAGGGGGGGGGGGGCTGGGGGCTCCTCCATGGCTCGGCGCTGTTGCTATGGATGCTGGCGCGAGGGGGGCGCCCAGGATGCCGAGGACTGTGCCCCACCCCACCCCCCGAGTGGGGTCCAGCAGCATCCCTCTCCTCCTCCTCCTCCTCCTCCTCCTCCTCCTCCTCCTCTTCTTCCTCCTCCTCCTCTTCCTCCTCCTCCTCCTCCGCCTCCTCCGCCTCCTCCTCCTGCTCCTCCTCATCCTCCTCCTCATCATCATCATCAGCATCATCATCATCATCATCATCATCATCATCATCATCATCATCATCCATAGTATCATCATCATCATCATCATCATCAGCATCATCATCATCATTATCATCATCATCATCATCATCATGAGCAGCAGCAGCATCAGCATCATCATCATCATCATCAGCAGCATCATCAGCATCATCATCATCATCATCAACAGCATCATCATCATCATCATCATCATCATCATCATCATCATCATCATCATCATCATCATTATCATCATCATCATCATCATCGTCATCATCATCATGCTCCTCCTGCTCCTCCTGCTCCTCCTCCTTCTCCTCCTCCTCCTCCTTCTCCTCCTCGGGGTGTGCAGTGGTCCATCTGGGCTCCGGCCGCCAGCCTCAGTATAGTAGTATAGTAGCGCTCGGCGATCGGCCCGGAGCCATGGCCCTGAGCCTTCGGGGGCGAGCCCTCGTGGTGTCGCCGGCGGACCCCGAGGCGGACAGCGAGGTGAAGGCCGTCTCGCTCCTCGGGCTGGCCGTGCTGGCCGCCGTCGCCGCCCTGGGCTACGGGCTCCGGAGGGCGGCGTGGCTGGGCCGGCCGGGGCGCAGCGGCACGCTGGCTGCGCTGTGGGTGGGGTGCGCCGTGGCCCCGTTCGCAGTGCTCCACGCCCACGGGCCCTTCCGGTCTCTCCTGGCCCACTTCACGCTGGCCTTCCTCGGGGTCGTCGGCAGCTTCCGGCTCCTCGAGCTCATCCTCGGCACTCGCCCTGGGGGGAGCGGGTCCTGAGGTTCTGCGCCGTTTTCGGGCTCTCGGGGCCTGCTACGGGCCCTGGGGACCGTCAGACGTCGACCCAGGATGAAGAAGCGGTCCTGGGGGAAGGCTCCAGAGTCCAGGGCCCTGTTCCCCCACGCTAAGGCACGGGGCCCCGGGGCTTTGACAGATCGTTCAAGAATTTTATCGTGTACTTCAGCTCTCCGGCGGAGGTGCTGTTCGACGAGGCTGGAGAGTTCAAGAGGTCCCCACCTGGGCGGCTCATGGAAATCCTACTCCGCTTGGCGGCACACATGCTGATGGGCGCAGTTCTGCTCAGCGTCGGGAAGGCGACTGACTTTGTCCCTTTCCTGGAGCGGGGGTCGCGGCCAGTAGAGATGCCGCACTTCGGCCTGCCGGCCTCTCTGCCGGGGCTGTGGTTGCAGGCCGCCTTCGTCTACTGCCTGCTGACGACGGCCATGCTGATGCACAGGGTGCCCGTCGCCATGCTTGGGATCGACACGGTGGATCCAATGAGGGCGCCCCTGCTGCTCTCCACCAGCGTCCGGGACTTCTGGGGCCGACGTTGGAACCTCCTCATCCACCGCCTGATGAAGAGGACCTTCTTCGCGCCGCTCGCCAGGGGCAGCCCCGGCGCGGGGCGGCACCTCGGAGGCCTCCTCGCGTTCGCGATGTCGGGGCTCTTCCACGAGTACATGTGGTTCGCCGTCAACTGGTTCCAGGTCGGCCCCGCAACCTACGTTCCGGGGCAGGTGCTGCTCTTCTTCCTGGTGCAGTTCTGCCTCTGCGCCGCGGAGGCGGCGCTGGCGGGCACCCGCGCGGGCCGCTGGGCCTCGGGGCTGCCCGCGGGGCTGCGGACGGCAGGCACGACACTCGTCACCCTGCCGGCCGCCCCGCTGTTCCTGCATGGCCTCCACGGGGCCGGCATGATGGCGCAGTGCGCGGAGTTCGGGTGGGTAGGAGGAGGAGGAGGAGGAGGAGGAGGAGGAGGAGCAATGGGGGGGGGGAGCTGCACTGGGGGGGGGCCCTCCAGGGGCCCCTGTGGGGCTCCTGGCGGTTCCCCAAGTAGGGCCCCTTTCGAGGGCCCGCTCCTTCCCCCCCCCTCCTCGTTTAGAGGTCACCCCCCCTTACTTGGCCTCGCTCGGACATGTGCGCATATTTTTTTCTCGGCGACGGCCATCGAGGACCATCCTTGATCATTGGGCGAAAAAAAAACGCACGAAGTCGAAAAAATACACGAGGAATGCACGTCCGAGCGATGGCGAGATCACCGCCCGAGGAGCAGAGCGCCACTCTCGACCTGCTGCCCAGGGGGGCCGACGCCGCGGGCCTCCGGCAAACGGTGCCCCTCGACTGGGCCTGCCTCGCGGCCTTCGCCAGTGCTGTGCTCGGGCTCCGGTGCCGCGCGCGCCTGCGGGCGCGAGCCTGGGGCGGAGCGGGCAAGGCGGCGCGCCTCGCCACGCAGGTCGACGGCGCGAGCACCCTGGTCGGCGGCTGAGGGGCGTGGGGTCGCAGCCGCGCCCTTCAGCCCGCACTGTCCTGCCCTTTTTTCTTGGGGCGCCTCGCGCCGGCGAGTCGGCGCGAGCCTGCCGCCGATGGAGCAGCACGAACCCTGGCCACGCTGGCATACGGGTGCTTTCCCAAGGCGCCCCGCTGCAAATTCATCGCACACATTGTCGCGCGGGCCTGTCCTGGCAAGCAAGTCTTCCATGTCTGTTTCCCAACCGGCCGTGCAGGCCAGGTTTTCCCAGAAGCTCGCATTCTGGCAGAGATGCGTCGTGCCCGTAGATGGTGAAGTGACTCAGCGGGAAGTCAAGCCGAGCGACGTGAGGGTCTGAGCGTCGGCGAGGAGAGCAGGTGAGCCAGCGAAGAGCCTGCCTGCGAGAGCGCCTGTGAGCATAGATAGCACGAGTGAGGAGAGGAGAGCCTGCGAGAGCACCCGCGAGGAGAGTCAGCGAGCCGAGAATCTGTCCGAGCGTCCGTGAGCAGAGCTGCCGCCTGCGTGGCGTGTGGACTCAGACATCCGGCGCTCCAACTTTTTTGTTGCGTGGACTTCCTGAGGTCCCGACAGTTTCCCTGCAGGGCCGGTTGAGTAGTTGTTTGACGGTCCTGGGGCCCGCTGACGACCCCCGGAGGCCCCAAAAAAGCAGCAACAACACCACCAACAACACGCCGCTCATTTTTCTTCGAAAGCGTTTCGTGACGCTGTGGCACGGGGGGGTTCACCCCCCCCTCACAAGAAAAATAATCGAGGAGGGTAGGTTTTCCGGACCCCCCTCCCTCGGAATATTATTGGGGAAGTCCTTCCCCCCCCAGCGAAGGGGCCCCCGACCGCCGCCGCCGCGGGCAGACGACGATGACGACGACGCTGTCGCCGAAGCCCACAACAGCGACGACGACGACGACAACGACGATGAAGACGACGACGACGAGGGACGACAACGACGACGACGACGACCAACACGATGACCACGACGACCACGACGACCACGACGACCACGACGGCGGACGACGGACGATCGACGGACGACGGACGGCGACGATGGCCGACGACGACGGCGACGATGATGTTGATGATGATGATGATGATGACGATGATGACGATGATGACGATGACGATGACGATGATGATGATGATGATGATGATGATGATGATGATGGCGGATGGCGGATGGCGGATGGCCGACGGTGATGGCCACGACCATGATTGTGACCATGACGACGAACAACGAGGATGATGTTGACGATGATGATGATGATGATGATGACGACGATGATGATGATGATGACGATGATGATGATGACGATGATGTCGATGATGATGATCATGATGATGATGATGATGATGATGACGATGATGTCGATGATGATGATGATGATGATCATGATGATGATGATGATTATGATCACGATGATGATGATGATGATGATGATGATGATGATGATGATGATGATGATGATGATGATGATGATGATGATGATGATGATGATGATGATGATGATTCGTGATGATGATGACGATGATGATGATGATGATGATGATCATGATCATGATCATGATCATGATGATGATCATGATCATGATGATGATGATTAGCATGACCCGACCCGGCCGTAAGTGTCCACCCGCCCAACACGAACCGCCCGTTAGTGCTCGCGCGTGGTAGCCCAACGACGCATCATATTCTTTTGCCCAGCCCGACCCGACCCGCCGGTTAGGGCTCGCCCGCCCGACCCAACCCGCCCGTCAGGGTCCGCCCGCCCGGCCCGGCCCACCCAACAGGGCTCGCGCGTGCTAATTCGAATACGCATCGTGCTTTCATGACCCGCCCGCCCGACCCGACCCGTCCGTCAGGGCCCGCTAGCCCGATTGGACCCGCCCGTCAGTGTCACCCGCCCGCCGGCCTGCCTGTTAGGGCCGGGCCCGCCCGCCCGACCAGAACCTGTCCGTTAGGGTTCGTCCGCCCGACCCGACCCGCCCATTGGGGCTCACGCGTGTCAGTTCGAGGACGCATTATACTTTAATGTCCCGCCCGCCCGACCCGACTTGTTAGGGCCCGCCCGCCCGAGCCGACCCGCCCGTCAGGGTCCCCCCGCCCGGCCCGACCGGACCGTTAGGGCTCGCGCGTGCCAGTCCGATGACGCATCATGTGCTCTATCCCACCCGCCCGACCCGCCCGCCCGCCCGCCCCGAGCCGCCCGCAGCTAGTACGTCGGGCAAGCTTCCCTGCATGCTCTGATCTTCTTCACCTGGAGTCGCTTCTTTTGCATGCCAGTGTGGCGGTCGACCATCTCACGCATCTTCAGTGCATACTCTATCCCGCCCGCCCGACCCGAGCCGCCCGTGGAGGTCGGCCTTCCCGATCCGACTCGACCGTGAGGGTTCGCGCGTGCCGTCTCGATGGCGCATCATGTGATAATGTGCCACCCAGCACGGCCCGCTCGGTAGGGCTCCCCGCACGACCCAAACCTCCCGTAAGGGTCCGCCCGCCCGCTCGCCCGCGTGGTCGTCGTCGACGGCTTCGTCGTCCTCGTCGTTGTCGTCGTCCTCGTTGTCGTCGTTGTCGCCGTCGCGCGGTGTCGTCCGCCTCGTTCGTCGTCATCGTCCGTTGTCGTCTTGTTCATCTTCCTCGTCGTCGTCCTCGTCGTCGTCCGTCGTCATCGTCGTCGTGGTTGGTCTTCGTCGTTTGTCGCCGTTCACCTTCGTTTTCGTCGTCGTTGTCGTCTTCGTCGTCGTTGTGGTCTTCTTCGTCGTCGTCGTTGGTCGTCGTCCTCCGTCGTCGTCGACTGTCGTCGTCGTTGTCGTCGCTGGTCGTCGTCGTTGGTCGTCGTTGTTGTTTTCAGCCGTCGTCGTCGTCGTCGTCCATCGTCGTCGTCTGTTTTGCTCGCCGGTCGTCGTCGTTTCATGTCGTTGTCGTCATCGTCGTCGTCGCCCCCGCCGCCGTCATCGTCGTCGTTATCGTCGTCGTCGCCGCCCGTCGTCGCCCGTTGCCGCCTGTCGTCCATCGTCGTCCTCGTCGCTGTCTTCTTCTTCTGTCGTCGTCGTCATCGTGGTCGTCTTCTTCGTCGCCGCCGCTCTCGTTTTCGTTTTTCGTGTCGTTTATCGTCGTCATCGTGCGGCGAGTAAGGGGTTGGGGTGGTACGGGGGTGGTCCGTTAGCCTTCCCTCCCCCCTTGACGGGGGGGGGTGGCAGTCGTTACCGCCCCTTCCCTTGGGGGGGTGAGGTCCACACCTCCTGGATCGTTCGGGTGTAAGGGGCGGGGGGATTGGGAGGGGATGTTTGGGGGAGACGGGACGCCCACAGGTTTCAGGATTTCTCACCCTCCTCATTCGGCGTGGCTTACTCACTCATTGCAACGGGCCGGCGCGGCTCGCCACAAACGTTGATCTAATTCGGCAGAATGTATGACACGGTTGCGTCCATGCAAAACGTTTCGGCCACATAGTGCCGTTCCGACCTAGCTAGATCCGGGCACGGGACTCACGAGAAAACCCGTTGTCGTGCAAATCGTCGCCATACAAAGATAAATCCCGAAAGGTTGGCGGACCATACGGGGGTCGCACGCACGAGGTACGATTTCATGATCTATTCTTTCGGCTGGTTCAAGAATCGACATTAAGCATCCGGCCGCCGGCACATTGATTCCCGTCGCCGAAACTGTGGTGTAGTACAGCCCTGCCGGAATAACACAGTTTTTAGAGTAATTCGGCCTACGCAGTGCTGCGAACTTGCACGGCTCGCTTCACAGACCGAGCCGGCCGTCTTTGAATTTTTATCGATCTACGAAACATGGCAAATTTCTTTAGTTTTGCAACGCCTAGCCGAATCGTCATTCCTCAGATTTCGCCGCCACCACTCTTCAGTTGTCACCCTCAGCCTTCCTAATCAATTTCTCTTTTATCCTTCAATGTCTCCCTCATTATTCCGCCTCGTTCTTCAGCCCTTTCTGTCTGCATGTGTCAGCCGTTTCGTTTCTCAGTTTCATCATTGTTTGAATCTCCCGTTGCTTTTAGTATCATTCTTCCCGGATGAGGTTGGAACAGGCGGGGGTGGTATTTGTTATAGAACCGCATCTATATAGCAGCAGATTCAAGAAGCGAACGCTGGTTTCAATATCTCAACATTGGCTTGGATAGCTTCGAAAACGGGTTTCCATAACTACATATTTTGGTTTCAATAACCATGAAGACGGGATTCGATTGTTCTTGGCATTTGGTTTTGTTTCTTTTGGTTTCCTGGAGGCCTTTTCCAGGCCCTAAAAACAGCTCGCACTGAAGAAAAGCCGAATCCAGGGAAAATGTCGCAGTATTTATTTTGCACGTCCCTGTTTTTTAGCAGTTTGTTGTTTGCAATTAGCAAGTACGTATTATTCGGGGAAGGCGTCATCCCCGACCACGCTGCGGAATTCCAAGAAGAGCATTGATTTGCTATGGTGCGTTTTATTTTTTGTTATGGGTGTTCGTTTCATTGTTGCCCCCTTTTTGCTTGCTCGTTTTTTGCTTGCTCGTTTCAATTCTGCCGAATACGACCACCCAGTGCCTCCAAGGGCCCCTAGTTCTCCGGCGATGCACATGCCTTCCTCCGATCCGCCCCCTCCCGTGCGCCGCCCTCCTCCGTCCCTCCGCCCCCTCCCCCTCCGATAGATGCCCCGGTTCCGATGCCGAATACGATCGCGACGATGTCTCGTGAAGCCGCCCTTTCGGCACTCCAATCGCTCGGACTCTTTTCAGCGCCTGCAGGATTACCTCGCCCCGCCCAGGAAGGGCCACCGACAAATCCTCACCGACAAGACAACCCCAGGAACGACCTGCTCTACATGATGGTCTGAGAAGTAACCACGCCACCGACGGTGCGCCTCCGCCCGCCCCGCCTTTCCCTTCCCAATTCCCTGCACCTTTGACCTCGCCTCAACTCCTTCGTGGCGGCGCTGATCCCCAGACGACGACGCACAACGGTGACATTACGGAGACTATTCCAGAGCCTCTTGAAGCGCCTCCCGTGCTGAGATCCCAAGGGGCTTATCATATTCAAAACAGGCACGCTGAGAGAAACAATGGTGATAGGACGCACGAGGGTTTCCATGAGCCCACTGGGATGCCCGATGGCCTTCCTGAGCCCATTGGGACGCCCGAAATACTCGGAGCAAGGCCTGCATTGGCTTGCGGCATTGGGAACATGAACGTTGGACCACACAATGATCCCCTTACGAACGAAGTTGACGGCGATCACAACGGTATGCTGGGTTGCGACGTTGGGGGTATGAGTGATCTCAGCGACGATGACTACGATGACGAGGCTGACCCGCCACCCCAACACGTGCCTGACGACGCTAGGCTTGACCATCCGCGTCCGCCCTCCGCCCCCCGTCCACCTTGTGACGACGACCAATGACGATCTACGATCGCGCCGGGGGGCATCGCGGACGCACCACGTCGAACACCATATCGTGATGATTCAGCTGTTTTCGCCCACCTGTGCCCTCCCCGAGAAATCCAGGTTGCAGTGTACCATATCTTACAAATGTTGGATACCATACCGATCGGAACCTCGGATGCAAACGCGATGGGGGTGATACGGCTACACCAATGGTCAGGGTTCAACAACCTCATCATGTGGGCAGCTACAGGGAGAAGTGAAGCACCGACTGTTCTTATTTGGATGAGCGACGTATTACATACATTACCAACTACCTTACACGGGGTAAATGGTGCACTCACGAGCGAAACGGGTCGCCACTTGTTTCCTGACATCAGGAGAGCCTTACGACAATTTGGAATACGGGACAAGCATGGGGTCTTACGATGGTTGGAACAAGACGGATTCCAAATTCAAGATATGCAAATAAATTGCTACATGAATAGATCACTACAAGAACATATTCTCCAAAGGGTGGGCCAAGCCATCGTTAGCATTACCGATTTGGAATTATCCTATGCCGCTATGGCGGAGGTCATACATCGCCACCCGGCATTCCATCAATACCTGTTCAGTGGCTACGATCTAATCGTATTCCGAGCACCACCACAACAACGCGATACGACGTCTCGCACATCAGAGGCACAAACGCAATCACGTCGACAACCAGGTGTCCTTTCCATCATGCCAAATGGATAGCACCATCTCCGTTCAATCAATCTGGATCCCTACACCGACGCGCCAATTCAAACAATGAAAGGCGTGCCGAGATGTATTCGAAACAAAGTTTTGCGTATATTCACAAATTGCATGGTGGCAATCGAGGCTACGTACAGACATGGAAATCCCGCCACAAATGCTACTACCTACACCCAACTCAATAGACGCATGGACGTTTTTCGTGTATAGGGTCGCCTAACATGCGGAGGTGTCAGCACACAAACCACGAGCGCATAAGGAAGACAACGACAAGAACCGCATTGAGAATGCCATGGCCCTTATTAAACAAAGGGAACTAAACTATGCTGCGCGTAATCTTACGTCACCAAGCCTAGTTTCAGGCAGACCAAATACATTGGTAGAGCTGTCGAATCGGTCCTTGCGGCCCCGCGAACCTGCCGAACCCATGCTTGATGGATTCGCAGATTTCATGCCTGCCACGCCTGTAACCTTAAATCGCAATGTGTTTGCGGCGGTATGGCGACAATCTAGAAAAGGTTTCAGCGCAAGTTTGTGAGGATGCCGGTATGGATATTTCAAAGCGTGCTTAGAAAAGAATCATGCATTTGATATTCTACGCGAAGTGGCGGAGCGACTGGCGAGAGCAGATTTTCCGCATAAAACACCATGCGGACACCGGCGCTTACAATTTTGAAAAAAAACCGAACAACAGAATACGAGGCTCATTTGGACATACACTTCGGCGACTAGTGTCGAAATCCTTCGCGCGACAAGTCCAATTAAAATTGCGCAACGCAGTGTGGCCGCACAGCTACGGGCTCTCAAACCAGAGTGGCACCGATGCTGCAATACATTTCTTGCGGTTTGTGACGGACAAATTTCCCGTGAAGGTTGTGGTCTTCATCGATGGTGTGGGAGCGTTCGACCAGGTATGTCGGGCCCGTATGTTTGAGAGGCTCCAACAACATCCGACGCTGCACCATTTGATTCCATTCGTACGACAATGGTATGGGCGTATATCTCACTTCCGGTGGCGGGATCAACACAACAATGTGCACCCTATCCTACAGGGTGACGGAGGTGAACAAGGAGATGCGCCCATGCCTGCATTATTTTGCCTGGCGTTGCATCCCGCGTTAGTCCACGTACGAGCCCACCCACCGCCAGGAACTGAAGTTTTAGCGAATCTCGACGACGTGCATTTGGTCTGCGACCCCGACGAAGTGCAATACATCCTGGCACTGACAAAGCAAGCATTTGCGGGATATCTGCCATATCGACACCAACATTGGGAAACTTGCCATTTGGGGGAACACCCCTGCCCTCAAAATGTGGTGAAGCCTGCGGCAGCCGCGTGGAGATGTGACAGGCCATTGGAGGAAAGATGCATCCAAATATGAAATGCACCGTTTGGGACAGCGGAGTATATCAATACGTTTTGGGCTACGATTACTAGCGAGAGGGCGAAGCTACTAAACTTCATCAATTAGCTCTTCTCTTGCCAAATTTCGTGGTTGCTATTGTATTACTGCGCAGTGCCACGGATGAACTACTTATTGCGAACGCTTCCGCCATGTGACGCGGTGCCACTCACGATGGATCATGATAGTGCAATTTTGGACGCATTCCGCCAAATTTTCACTATACCAACGGAATCAGATTGGAATGCAAATTTACATGGAATCTCGTGCGCTGCGTGGGTTGCTCCAGCGAGACTGCCGCTCCGTTTGGCTGGGATGGGCCTCCGGGATTCGGGGCGCACCTCTACTGCCGCATATTGGGCCACATGGGCTGACGCGCCGCCCGAAATCATTGTGAGGTTCCCTGCGCTGGGACGCAGTGCGTTGTTCTACTTCAACGTGTTGCAAGCGACTAGAGACCTCACCCACGGTACTGCACCACGACTTGAGGCCGAAGTTGGTGGAAGACGCCGTGACGAAGCTGGTTGGACTCAGCGCCCTACTTGGAACGACACTGCAACAAAACAGCGCCCTCCATCACCGGATCCAATTCAATTTACGCTCGGGGAATGGGAGCACGGATGGCAATATCACGCAACGCACGATGGTGAAAAAACAACCCACACACAATTATTACGAGATCTGGCATTCCCCAACGTACGCGTCAACGCAGCATCCCTTGGCAAAACGCGAATGTTCTCGACAATGGGCATGCTTTCTTCAAGCTGGTTACTTGTTTGCCCTGCGACTGACACACTTACAATCACGGTCTCTTATTTTGTATGTGCCGTGCGGCGACGGCTGGGGATTGCGAGCGTGGTCGATGGCCCGGACGTATGGGCATAGGCGGTTGGCGGATGGAACAAGGAGAGAATGGCAAAACCGACATATTGAATTCATGGCTGCTTGGAGGCAACTCTTCCGCGAAGCGGAGGGGCAAATTCCAGACCGTAACATCGAGCGCCACTTGCATAGTTTTAACATGTCCATCCCTGAAGGGGACACGCGCCGAGTGGATACGGGGATTACCATTGTTTTGCGACGTCACGGTACTGAGCCCAATCACTGGGAGGGGCCGCCCACGTGGTGGGACAAGCAACCGGGGAGGAGCATTATTGGAACAAGCGCAGAGGGAGAACGACACTACCTACAAAGAAGTCGTTAGTAGCGGGCTTGGCATGCTGTATTGCTTAGGGGCTGAAGTGCATGGCCGCTGGGGCGAACAAAGCGTCGCCCTCGTGCCAGCCTTAGCGCACGAACGA